ACTTAATCATACCTGGTCTTTGGCCTCTTTACCATCTAGTAAACTTCCCATTGGTTGTAAATAGGTGTATAAACTTAAGTATAAGGCTCATAGATCCTTGGAAAGGTATAAGGTATAGTTGGTTCCCAAGGGGTACACTCAGCAAGCAGAGATTGATTATGTTGAGACCTTCTATCCTGTCATCAAGATGGTTACTATTCAGACTATTTTAACCTTAGCATCTATCCATCATTGGGCAACCTTATCAAGTGGATGTTGATAATACTTTTCTTTAAGGAGATTTACAAGAAAAAATATACATGACTTTGCCTCAAGGTTTTGCTGAACAAGGGGGATCCAATCTTGTTTGCAAGTTACATAAGTAAGTCCCTATATGGGTTGAAACAAGCTTCTCGAGCCTACAACCACAAGGTCACATTAGCACTTCTTTCTGGAGGATTTCGGCAGTCTAAGTTGAATTATTCTCTTTTTATTAAAAGAGATGATACACATATTGTGATGCTTTTGGTTTATGTAGATGATATAGTTATTACAGGAACAATTCTGATATAATTCTTCATACTAAAGAGTTGTTACATTCCAATTTTAAGTTGAAGGATTTTGGTCTATTGCGGTATTTTTTAGGATTTGAGGTAGAGGTGGGCAAGGATCGGGCCTAATCAGTCCTGGGTTTGGGCCTAATGGATCCAGTCCCAAATTGGGACCGAGCCCAATCGATCTCGGGACTGGTCCTAGGCCCATGAAATTTTTTAGGGCCCGGACTGGTCCTTAGGGGTCATGGGGCCATAGGTCCTATGGGCTTGGAAAATTGCAATATGCCCTCTAATACGTAAAATTTTAGTTTAGCCTTTATATTTATTATCTATTTTGTATAAAATACGGGGTTTTTGGATATTTACTAGGCGCTTAAATGAAATTGGGCGAGAGGGTTTGGGACCAGGCCTAGGCTCGAGCCTTGGAGGAGGCATCGAACTAGGGTCTGGGCCCTCCTCCATGGGCCTGGTCTGGTTTTGGGATCGAACCTTATAAGGACTGGTCCTAGGCCTGATTTTTTGGGTGGGTTTTTTGGGTCTAGGCCCAAATTCCCACCTTTAATTTGAGGTGGCCAGATCTTCTAAGGGCATTAGTCTTTATCAACGCAAGTATGCTTTGCAACTTATTTCTAAATTTGGTCTTTCTAGATCCAAACCTTCTTTAGTTTCCATGGATCAAAACTTGAAGATGACTTTTGCAGCTTATGATTAGCTTCTTCATCCAATTGATGATTCTCTTTTATCTGACCCTAGCATTTTCCAACGATTGATTGGTAAGCTTTTGTATTTATGGATGATAAGACCTAACTTCAGTTATTTTGTTACTTTTCAGAGTTAGTTTATGCATAATCCCAAGCAATCTCATTTGAATGCTACTCTCAAAATTGTTAAATATGTTAAGTCTGCATCCGGTTTGGGCTTGTTTTTTCTTGCTAGTAATCCTTTCACTTTGATGGCTTATTGTGATTCTAATTGGGCATCTTGTCTCATGACAAGAAAGTCAATTACTGGATACTGCATCTTTCTTGGTTCCTTTCTTATCTTTTGGAAATCCAAGCGCCAAGCTACCATTTCCAAGTCTTCATCTGAAGCTGAATACAGGGCAATGACCTCTATTGTATGTGAAATTGTTTAGCTAGTTCAACTTCTTATTGCTGCTAATCCCATGTTTCATGAATGCACCAAACACATTGATATTGACTGTCATATTGTTTTTGAGAAGCTCAAGGTTGGTTTAATTCAGACTGCTTATGTTTTGTCTTCTAAGTAGCCAGTTGATTTGTTTACCAAGGCTCTCAGCAGCAAGCTTCATCATCATTTATTACACAAGTTGAGTATTCTTGATCTCTATCACCCTCCAACTTTAAGGGGGAAAGTGTTAGTGTATGCCCTAGGAACCAATCGTGTTGTCGGTTTCTGGACATTATATCTTGTAAATGTATTATGAATAAAAGAAAGTATTCTTATTTCACATGTTGATTTACTGCTTCATTTATATTATATTAAATATTACATGTGAAATGTCTAGATGACACGGATATTCAGAAGATCAAATCATCAGAGAATTCCCTATTCAAGTAATGTTAATTGGGAAATAACATTGCATAGTAGGCATGCTGAATGTCTCCATTGAATATCACGTGATGGTATTAGTGTGGGTGATTATAAGAGATATGTCACTAAGACATTAGCATGGATAAATGATTAGTGAACTGTTTATCGAATATGACCGATTACTATGAATCACATGGATGTGGTCAATGATGCATCGTAGGATCGTGCTAGTGTACCACTAATCCTTAGACCTGAGACATCACGGTTGGATTCAACATATGATGTATATGGTTCATATCGTGTATAAGCACGAGACTAGTCATGTCTTGTGTAATAAGTCGGTTTGGTCATATGTTATTCGTGTGCGAGGACAAGTGATGGTCAAGATGGGATCTGTTAACTCAAAATAGTCCAATCTCGAGTTCCCAGACGATGTCAATAAACATTGGAAAAGAGAAATCTCTGGCCCGAGTATAATGAATGTTAGATGAAAAGTAGTTTCATATTGACGAGTTCCATTGTATCGATTGACAATTTGATTAAAGATTAAGTTAAAGGTTTTGACATATCATGAACCATTTTTAATTGGGATTAGATGACGAAGGGATTTTACTACATGATACGTACGATCAGAAACGATTCATTGGAGTTTACACTTCATTATGGTTTATGGGTTATGGAACATTGCTAGACGTTTACCATAATCAGTGAGAGTTTCGATTATAAAAAGTTATAACAAAACATATTGAAATATGATATTGGGTCTATGGCTAGATCACAGTGAACCAAAATGGTTACTCATAAAACCGAGCTCAATGAGAGAGAGTAATATATATCATTAATCGGATTAATGATATTTGGACGTAAACGGTTGCATCCGAATTAATGTATTGGTGAGAAATGATTATCCATGGATAGCTAGCACTAACTAAGGGTAATAAGGATTTATTAAATATTGTTATTGAATTGGATTTAATGATGGAGGCAAAAGTGCATTGGTCTTATTCTAAAGGGTTAGAATATTTAATGAAATTAAAATTTGGTCTGATTATGAATTAATCATAAAACCAAGGACTTGGCATAAATGTTTATTCTTAAGTTGATTTTAAATTGTTTGAGGCATTCCCAAAACAATTTAAAATTACATTTTGTGCCTATGGTATATAAATTAAGTATTATACCATTTTAATGCAATTGCAACAATTGAAAACAAAAGCACTCTTCACTCTCTCGGCTCTCTCTCATCTTTGGCTTGGGTGGATTTCATTTTGAGTTTCTTCATTCTCTTTTGAAGAATCTAGACTTCAAGTTTCAACATCAAGCATTTAATAGCAAAAGAGTTTGTAATATACTATTCTTTTTCTTTAAAAAATTGCCATTGATGTTGTGTTTGTGTTCTACATTCATCATCTTGATCATTATTTTCTCTCAATTTCTATGTCCAAAATGCACGAATCCCAACATAAAAGTGTGGTTGGGGGGGGGGGGGGGGGGGGGGGGGGGGGGTGATTAGCAATATACTGTGACAGTTAGTTGAGTTGTAATTGAAGTAGTTAGTTACATGTGCTATAGTTAGTTAACTAGAGTTTAGTTAATTGTTACTGCAGTTAGTTACAATACTTAAGTGAAGAAGAAATACCGATTATTGCACTTCATGAGAATGATGAATTAGAATATGCTTAATTTTCTCTTCCCAATTCTCTGATGTCATTGTTTAGAATTAATATATTAATATAAACATAGAAAAACATGGAGAAGAGAATCTAAAAATCCTTATCCCATTCCCATCCTCTTTCTCCCAAACAAAATCACAACCATGCAATTTCTTCATTCATCTCTACCCTTGCAAACACATCTCCCACATCCTNAGTATGTGCTATAGTTAGTTAACTAGAGTTTAGTTAATTGTTACTGCAGTTAGTTACAATACTTAAGTGAAGAAGAAATACCGATTATTGCACTTCATGAGAATGATGAATTAGAATATGCTTAATTTTCTCTTCCCAATTCTCTGATGTCATTGTTTAGAATTAATATATTAATATAAACATAGAAAAACATGGAGAAGAGAATCTAAAAATCCTTATCCCATTCCCATCCTCTTTCTCCCAAACAAAATCACAACCATGCAATTTCTTCATTCATCTCTACCCTTGCAAACACATCTCCCACATCCTATCAAACAAAGACCACCAATCCACGATCATCATCAAAAATCTTAATCATAATCATAATCAAAATCCAATGTAGAACACCCATTAAGGTCAATCCTTCTCACGTACCCATAGCCCCAACCTCCCTCCTCTACTGCTGTTGTCGCTGCCCCTTTTCAGTTTTCACCACCTCCTTCAACAACAGCAACAATAACTCCAAATGTTTTGGTCTTACGAGCGTCAAGAAATCGAACAAGTCAACGATTTCAAGAACCACCAACTCTGTCTTGGTCGCATCAAGAAAATCATTGATGTATATTACATTTTTACGGGTTGAATTGAACTTTGAAGACGCAGTTGCAGAAACCAAAATTTTTCCGGTTTTCCCCTTTTAATGACCCGGTTTAGGCCCTGGGCCTGTTCCGAAACTTAAAGCTACAAACGGATAATATACAATTTTAAAAAAGAAAAAAAACCGTAGAAAAAGAAAAGTTTGATATATAGAGTTATATTCTTTTTGTTTCAAATATTTCAAGTTTTAAAAAGATAATATATAACTCATGAAAGAGAGTAATTATATTCTAAATTAAATTCCCAAATATAATTATGATGAATATCATAAATAAGAGATTTTTGGAATGATAACACAATGATTTATTTTGTAAATATAATTTTTACAATGTCTTCTTTCAATAGAATCACTTTTGAATTTATTAAACATCTCATATTTCGATCATGATCAGGTGGAGAGTCCTATTAATTTAATAGAGAAGGGTAGCTTAGTGGCTAACCTACGTACAAACAAGCTTTCATTAATGTACTAATAAGGATATTCAACTTTAAATAAGTTTTTATCATATATAGGAGAGATCTCGCCCTGTTGAAACTTGAGCTTGATCTAGATTTACACACCAACAGATGATACAAGAAGAAATATTATTTAGAAGCACAACTTTTGGAGTTAACCAAGGTAGCAACAAACTCATCAATATTTTTATCGGAACTACCACCTTCACCCATGGCTTTTCTGGCCAATTTCTTCCACTTAGCTGCATTCTTTTTTATTTCTTTCCCTTTCTCACCCTCCAATATTTCCAATATGGAATCTTGTATTGCTTTTTGTTTCACAATTCCTTTCTCATCAGCCGGAGCTTTAAGCCCCATTTTCCACACATCCATAATATACTTAGCATTAGTGCTTTGGTCAGTCCAACAAGGCATTGCCACCATTGGAACTCCCAAACTCAGAGCCTCCAATGTAGAATTCCATCCACAATGTGTAACAAAACACCCAATTGCTTCATGTGCCAAAACATCTAATTGAGGACACCAACTCAGCACCAGCCCCTTCTCGGCTGTCTCCTCCACAAAATTTTTAGGAAGTTTAGCCTCTTCGAACTCCCTCACCACCCACAAGAAGTGTTTGTCACTTGCTTTAAGACCCCAAGCCAGTTCTTCCATTTGCTCAGCTCCTAGCGCCGCCAAGCTACCGAAAGACACATAAACAACCGATCCTTTTGGTCGATCATTTACCCATTTCATGCACACTTCACTATTTGGATTAAAGATGCTAAAACCATAGTCTTTATCATTTTCAAGTTGCTTATCCAAGTACATTGATGGTATAGTTGGTCCAACTGTGCTCAATGAAAACAGCTTAGCAAGCCAATCCACTACCTGAATGAAATGATTCCATAAAAAAATTAATAATATTTGTAACACACCAGCCAAATATTAAGATATTGTTGGATTTTTGTCTCTTATCCACCTCAAAGAGGAGGACTTAGAACACGTCTCTCTTGATTCGGATTTCATCATTCGAAAGAAGCTTTGATTTGTTTCCAATGATAAAATCATGAGTTCGAATCAAGAGGGACACATTCTAAGGTCTACTATGTAAAGTGGATAGGAGATAAATCCACAAAATCTTGACAATGGACTAGAATGTTATCAGTTTTCTAGATCTTGAAACAAAATCATCTTTAAAATTTCAACTAAAAATTATAATTTTGTTAACTACCTCTTTCTCCAACTCGTAAAAAGTGTTGCAAAGAACCCAATTAGCCTCGTGAATATTGCCAAATTGAGAAGTGACTACCATAGGAAAAATAGCAGGATAGGACTCCATATCGTAAACAAAAGAAGGCGTATCATGAGGCTTAAGTGGAGGCAATCCAGGCAGTAAAATTTCATGGTCGTTAAGTGGCAATTTGAGCAAACCCCTTTGCACATGGTAGTATATACTATCGACGGCACAAGATTGAGTGAGAAAGGAAGCTGCAAACAAGCCAAATTTCTTTGCAACATGAAGAGCCCAAGGCAAAAATGAATCATATACAATGCAATCGATTGGACAAATTGAATCTAAGCCGTTCATCTTCTCGACAAGCTCAGAAAGGGTCTGTGGACCGACCTCCCAAAAACGCTCCAAGTAGGCAGAAATGCTTTCTGCTTGATTAATACCGCCGTCATCATAGCCGTCGGAGATCGTCTCGAGCGCAATGGAGGTGGAGGAGGAAGCTGTATGAAGGGTTTTGACGATGAAACGAGTAGTGACTAGTGTGAACTTAATTCCTCTTTGCTCTAAGCGTTTAGAAAATTGGAGAAGAGGGTTTATGTGGCCTTGGGCTGGATACGATAAGATCAAACAGTGAGCTTTACAGGAGGGTTTCTTTGCGTTCTCCATTCTTGTTAATTTTAGAAGAAACTAATGAAGTAATCCTACAGACAATTTGGTGTTATAAATAAATGCATATCGATCACATGGTGTAAGGACCTTCAGATATGTAGTCATGAATCAAGACTAGTTGTTGGTAAGTCAAAGTATAGTAGGTCTCTTCATATCATAATGGTGGGAGGTGCTTAGAAATTTAACCATTAGAAAAGATGTCGAAGGATTGTGATTAGGTTTCATTTGTGAAAATGAAGTTTTGTTTTGTTTTTTTTTTTTGTGTGTGTCTCCTATAGCTTTTATAAACTACTATTAAATTTTAATGTTATAATATTATAAAAAAACATGCATTTTTATGATGCTTCAAAAGATGATAGTTCTATTTTTAGCAACATGCATCCACTACACCCTTTTTTCATACAAAAACTAAGATTGTATGGTGTGAGATCTAATCAGCTAGACTATCTATTTGGAGACTAAAAGATTATATTATTTTAAAATTGCATGATTTGCTATAGATATATAACTCCAATCATTCAGATGAAAGAGATAGTCACTATATTAGTGTTTTTTTTACCAGGTGGCCCATAATTTTCATGGTGAAATATGTCATATCTGTTTAGAGTATGCTAACAAATATTCATTTGAGTCACTGAATATTATAGTAAATTTGAGATGATGATGACGATATTGGTATTACTTCATGGACCTGCAAATTAAAGTTTTATATAAACTGACACAAAGGACAACAAAAGGTTCCCTGACATATGCATGTGGCACAGTTAAGCAATTGTATTACGATTAACGTTTAACACGAGTGAGATTTGAGAAAAATAAATAAATTTATGGACAGATTTGGTGATAAAATAGTTTAATACTAAGCTGGTTTGATAGAATTGAAAGCAAGGAAAATGAATAATTGATAGGAGATGTTTAACTACAAGAAATTATTGATGGAATAGAATATGTATTGGTTGGATTTTTGTTAAGATTGTTAATAAAAACTTCATTGGCCCTTTTTAAGGTTTCGATCAAATCAATCCATTTGTATTGTTTGAAAACTGACCCACAATTTTATCATCACATTCTCCCATGAAGTATTTATTTAGTAGAAAGGAAACAGCCGCCAAATTGGGAGCAAGTTGCGTGGAGGACACGTTAGTCCAATTGCATGAGACAGGACACTTGGCACCAAGTTAATTAATTATAAAAGTAGTTGAAATGTTAATTAAGTTTATCGGAGCAACATTCGACGGCAGGGTTGAAAAAATGGATATTATTAGTTTATTACCCATAAGTCCATTCACTCTCAATGAAGGGTCCAATTCTGCCACAAACATAAAGGCCTTGTGCTTGAACTTCCTTGATGAATTTGACCACTACCACTGAAATCATACTATAGTATATATTAAATTAAATTAGTTGAAAGAGAAACAGGGGAGTTGATGGGTTAATTAATATAAAATCTAACCTCAACAGGTTGGGGCTCGTGAAGGTTCCAAAGCACACAAGTTTGAATGACATACAGTCCTACCTCTTTGGCTTTGCCTATCAATGCTGGCCACATCTACATCCATCAAAATATTTAGAATCAGACTGTTATGCTAAAATATAAAAGGAGTGAAAACAAAATTCATTAGAGCTACCGCAGAAAATTCAATAGAGCTCGTGACAATGTCCATGTGCAAACAGAATTCATAAAACAAAGCTGCTTGTATGTATTGAATTATTCAAAATGAAAATGACAGTGATTATGAGCTAACTTAACTATTCAAGAAAAGAGCCAAAAAAAAAGTTTAGTGGTCTGATCACATTCCTAACAGTATTTTGATAATCCAAACCAACACAAGAAAGACTTGATCCAACCTGAATTTTTGGTTGGTGTTGGTCTTTCAAATACTAGGAAATATCTCACAAACTAACAACTGTTAATCATATCTTAACTCTAAAACAATATTTTTTATATAAAGACGAGCGAATTACATGTTTTTACCTTATGCGTGTTCGTTGAATACGGCCAAAGATTTGGCCATAATTAACAACCAGAAGTTGTAGATCTAGTCGGAAACGACTAGAATAGATCCGGTTGTTTCCGACTAGATCCAGCCAGTCGTACACCATTCTTACGTCGGCTGGCAGTTGGCAATAGTGGCCAGATTCGGCCACCACCTTTGTGTAATTTTTTTAAAGTCCAAAGACATTTATGTCCTAAAATTTTTGTATATAAAGATAAAAATAATCCATGGATATATTTGTAAATTATTTTTAAAATAAGGACATTATTATCCAAAAATTTTAATAGTTAATGGTAAAATTGTAACAAAATAAGATTTCTAAGTAATCCTAAAATACCTAAGAAAATTGCAGTAATCAGATTACCTCCTATAGTACCAACAGTAATTACTACTGGTTTTGAAAGATTATCGAAATCTTATATTAATTGACAACTAAACATGGTAATCAAGTAATATCAGATGACATTACCCCAGTAATAGGAGATTACCCCCAACCAAACACACCCTAAATTGAATGCCTTACCAACTAACGAGGTAATGAAAAATCAAGAAAAGTTCAATCATGAACAATAGGTCTCATCCTATGATTAGGTGAGTTTAAAATGAAATCTTTCATGTGTGTCATCCTATAGTTAGGTGGGCTTTGTATAATAAAATGTGACATCCTATTGTTATATGGGCTTTATATGAGTTCCCTAGAAGCAGTGACAGACTCAGGATTTTTACCAAATGAAGCCTCTGCAGCTCTGATATTGTTTGCTAGTTAACTAGTAAAAACTTTTAAAAAACCATCAAACATTGAGCAAATGAAATAATACAATATCAAGAAGTTGAAAGGAAAAAATGCAACAACACAATACTTTCCTACTTGAATAAGTCTATGAGAAGCAAAATCTTGAGCAAATATGTTGAAAAAAAACATCAAATTCACAAGAAATTTTTTACTTGGAAAAACCTCTTTAATGTGAACAGAGCAAAAAACCATAAATCTAAACACTAAACCCTAAATCTTAACCTAATTTGCTTTCAATTCAAACTTCTCTTACCAAATTGAATCATAATCTAATTATTAATTTTTAATTATGTCAAATCATTATCATTAGTTGGAGGATAGATTTGTGAAAAAAGTATAACATAATCAGTTGAAATTTGTTAAAATAAGGGAAAGATAATGATAATTATTAAGTAGATTGTTAGTTTATAATTATATAAATTATTAATTTTTATTTCTATTAAAAAGGGGTGTAAGTTACAACATGAAATCTTTTATTAGTAGAGAGAATTGATGTCTGTTAAGTAATTAATTGTAGAGAGATATTGACGGAAAGGTAATTATAGATAAAATGACAGTGAGACTAGGTTATAGAATTAAAAATCATGGTTAATAGTTATTTGTATGGTATATTATATAGACTAAATTAGAGAAAAAGTGGGAGGACAGAAATATTAAATTAATAAAGACAGGTAGAACCCCAAAGGATAAGGAGAGATTCTAGGGAAGACTACTCTATAGAAAAATTGGTTTTTTTTTTTTTTGTTTTTTTTTGTTTTTTTTTTTTAAATTTGAGGATAGGCCTAAGCCTACCCTCAAAGGGCCAAGGTCCACCCCTACCTAGAACTTCTAGAAGCAATCGCCCTTGTGATGTGCAGTCTTAGAAGCAACCATTCGGGATTTGCTTTGACTAACCCAAGAAGCAGACGTTTGGGTTTTGTGTTGAAGAGCCCGAGAGGCAACTATTTGGGTTAAAGCCTTAAAGTCTTTAGTTGTTAAAAAAAAGAAGAGAAAAAAGATAACCCCAATAAAAAAAGATTAACAGCCTTAGACTAGATAATTTTATAACCCCCCAAAATGACCAATAGTATTCACTTTTCATTCCCTAATCTTATATTACTGTCAGATCAAACAAAAGAATATCTAGAATCAAAGACAGATAACTACCCACAGCCCTAATCAAACACAACCTAAAGTTATTGGATCTTGTTTGCAGCATTGGATCTCCTTGACAAAAGTGGTTATATAAAACCCTAGTTAGTAAATACGCCTTTTATACTCATATAAACATATTTTATAAGCGGTCGCTGAATTATTCATGTATAATTGGACTAGCCATATAATTTGCGAATTTTTGTTTGACTCAAATTACTCAAAACTCTCTTTTCTCATCTTCATCCTTGGTTCTTTGACGTCTTTGACAGTTCTCTTCTCTTTGAAGTCTTCGGCAGTTCGACTCCTTTTCAAAACTTCTTTTCTAACTTTCTTCATCTCTTAAATCTTGATCTCTTCTTCTCTTCTCTTTAGTCTTTCTTTTTAACTCTCTTTTTCAAGCTTTAAGCCCAAAAGTAAGACTTCAAGGTACACATTTCTTTTCTTTTCTTTGAATCTCTTATGTTGGTTAATTGCTTGTATTTGTGTTGGCGTGTGAGTAGTAGTAATAAGGGGGCTGATGGATTGATGGATTAGTTATATTGGTAGATTGATGGATTTGTTTAAAACCCGTTTGATGAAATGTTTGTGAGAGTGAAATTACTACGACACATTGCAAAGAGTGAAATTGAAACTGAAAAAAGAAGAAGAAGAGAGATTCCAAATTAAGTAATTAATATGATGAATGTTCACCCTAGTTTACGCAATGTGAACATGATGAATGTTCTTATCTCTGCTCATCCTAAAATGTCAAAGAGTCCTTAAGTCATGCATCTTGAATTATTAAATATCAAAAGATTCTTTGAATTTTTGACTTCTTAATTTAATAACTATTAAAGAATTTCATGTCTATCAACTTCATTAAATAATTTTAGTCAACCAATTTTTTCCAGCTAGCGTACAAACTTGAACAAGACCTGATTAAGCAACTTCTTCATAAATAGCCTTAATCACCGCACCAGTTAGCACAACCAAGAGAAACTTAAAACTATTAAGGAGAGGTGAAAGCATTTGATTGACTAAACTCAAGCCTCATAAGTCATTGACATTTAATAATACTAACTAGAATACAAGTTAGGCTTATGATAGGTTGAATTTTCATCCAAGGCTACTAATAAATTATAATTGAAGCTTCTTTGTAAAAACTGCTTGGTCAATGACTGATATTAATACAAAGGAGTATAAGGTTCCAATCGAGAAGAATAACCATAAAAGTTTCAGCTTAGAAACCAAGCAAACCAGTCTTCATCATCAATTCAAAATAACTAAATCCATATCTTTTAACAAAACTTCTTGAACTTGCTGAAGTTTGTGGCCATCCAAATCTCATACGTAGAAGTGGGATTAATTCGAGTTACAAACTGAGTTACTTAAATTGCTTCAATAACAAGTCATCCTCGTAAGTTTTTAAAAAAAATTGTATATCTTTTTTATACATTGCTTCTCTCTTTGTATTTAAGAAAACTTTTTATATTATTTAGAGAAATATGGTGGGATTACAATGGGGATGATCTTCCTGTACTCAAGAAGTATGCCATTCGAATTTTGAGTCAATCTTGTAGCGTTTCATCATGTGAGAGAAATTGGAGTGTTTTTGAAGCCCCTCAAACAAAAAAAAGGAATAGGTTGTCACATGAAATGCTAGACACCTTGTGTATGTGAGGATGAACACGATGATGATGGATAAGTTCACTTCCACAATGAGTCGCGACTTAGAACCTATAGATCTTGAAAAATTGGGAGAGCTTCCAAACTATGAATATGAAGAAATTCATATGGACGAAGATTCTAATTCTACACCGACGGTTGAGGGTTACATAGATGGCTTGATAGATAATGATGACATTTCTTGGTTGGATGATACTTTTTTTTGAGTTGTTATTGTTGGTTATGTACTTTGTAAGTTTTTGTTATAAACTATAATTTGAATCTTGGTTGTATTATTTGTGTATTTTATTTGTTTGGAGTTCTAATTCGACTTTGAATTTTGGTTTTGTTATGTGTTTGGTTTGACACTATAATTGAATCTTGGCTATATATTGTGTTTAAGTCTTGAGACTATAATTTGAATCTCAGTTATATATTGGGTATTTGTGTTATATTATTAGGTCTAATTGTTATTAGTTAATTGAATATTTTGCATTTGAAATGCTATATTGATTTTAACCAGGTGCTCAATGAAAAGTGTTAAAACCAGGATTGATATTGTCATATTTTTCAAAATGTATTATTGACAATGCGTTGTATTAAATCCGTATCATATTTTTCCCGTATCTGAATTTTATGGCTGAATTTTTACAAACGTATTTTTCACGCTTTGTCGTATCATACCCGTAAAATTCCCGTACCATTTTTTTGCTATATCCGTATTTACTAATTAGGTATAAAACTACAAACCCGACTCATATTTTATTCATGTAGCAGGCACATCTCATATATGTATTCTTCTTTCCATATACATGTGCCCATGCAGTAGGAAGCTCCCTTTTATAGATTTACCAATAACCTTATAAAAAGATGGTGAATTAACTAGATTATTTAAGAGAATAAATATGAACATAGTGGAAGAATAAAAGGGAATAACTTTCATGAAAATAATGTTTTTAAGTATTGGAGAGATGAACGGTTGTATTATGCATTGATATAATTGACATCTAATAATTAATAATATATGTGTTAAGGAGTAAGGACTATAATAATCCGAAAAAACCAAACTTGATATTGAATAGTACGACTAACAATTATATTTTAATATTTAATTATAGTAGTTGGGACAGGATGGTTGGGGTATCACTCTCACCTTCAAATTTTCTGTATTCTAATATAAATATTTGCCTGAGTTCATGCACTTAGGTTAATTATAAAAACGCATATAAATATTTATATTATTAATTAATATTCTGAACATAAATTATGGAATGAAGTAAACAAAACAACTTTGAAAACGTATTCTAATATAAATATTTGCCTGAGTTCATGCACTTAGGTTAATTATAAAAACGCATATAAATATTTATATTATTAATTAATATTCTGAACATAAATTATGGAATGAAGTAAACAAAACAACTTTGAAAACGAAGGTAAAAGTCGGTATTTTCTGTATCGTTGTACAAATATTTTCACACATTTTAAAAATGTTCTAATGTAATTTTTGAGTAAGAATATACCAAATTTTTAGTAATGAGATCATATTTTTCCAAGTAACTTCTTGTCTCTTTTAAGTAAAATTTTTGAGATTATAAGTAGATTAGTGTAGACGGTAAAATCTACGGTTACGGAATGGGGGGTATGATCCCATGAGGTTGAGGCCATCATCAATCCGCTGTAGCTACACATACAAGAAAACAAGCATGAAGCGAACAGAGAACACCAGAGTGGTGTTTGCCATAGGCACTCTGACACTCAAGTTAGCAAGGCTGAATGAGGCTAATTTAGTGAGGGTTAGGGATAGAGAAGGTTACCAGAAGATTAGTCGGAGACTATAACTACGGTCGTGATGTAAAGCTCTTAAGAGTGGGAACTATGGGTTTAGAAGCTGGTATGATGTCCCATGAACTGTGAGAGGGCTAGCCTTTGTTTAAATAACAGCTGTAGGATCTTCGAGTTCTAGTAGGACTAAGAGTCCTTTGGAGGTTGAGGTTTAGTGAATAGGAAGACCTTTGATTCCCTTATCGTAGTAGGAGAGGGAGTCCTAGTTGGTTTAAGATACAGATCTTAGACGAATTAGGATAGTAATGGATCTCTTCAATAGAATCTAAATAGTACCGGAATAAGAAGTAGGCAACCTTGGGGTCTAAGTAAACCCTAGGTCCAATAGGTGATCTTAGATCAAAGGGCATGGGCCCAGACAAGTTAATGATGAGGCCTAAACGAATCGGGACCTTTGTTGATTAGGCTTAAGCAATTTGCAACAGGGTGGGTGTACTGAGCAGACATAATATGCAAACTCTGTTGCGAGCCCAATCTGAATTGGGCCATGGCTCCGAGCTTTGTTGAAGGTGTCTTCGTCTTTGGGCCTATTGGGACCGAGGACATTTTTTGGCCCTAACAGTTTGCCCCCCACTCTTTAAGTTAAGAAGTGCTTAGCTTAGAGAGTAGATGTTGCGTGAAGGTGTGCTTGGTCGTCCTTTGTGACCGACTGGTTGAATATGTGAACGTGCTGCTTCTTTATTCGCAAAACTGAATAGTATAGCTTTTACTATAGGTGATGCACTTGGCATACCAGACCTAGTGGGTGGGTAGAGGTGAAAAACAAACATGCCCTCACTTGGCGTATCTAACCGAGTGAGAAAGAGGAGTTGACCTTGAAGGCCTCACCCAGTGCATCAGACCAAGTGAGGGGGAGAGGCGAATATCCGTGAAGATGCCCTAACTCGATGCATCGAACCAAGTGAGAGGATATGAGGCATATCCTATGAAGGTGTCCTCACTCGATGCATCGAATCGAGTGAGAGGATGTGAGGCACATCCTATGAAGGTGTCCTCGCTCGATGCATCGAACTGAGTGAGAGGATGTGAAGCATACCCTTTGAAGGTGCCCTCACTCAGTGCATTGAACCGAGTGAGAAATGTTATGAGAGCTTGTATCACTCGGTGCATTGAGCCAAATGATGTGTTGCGAACTAGTTCTTTGGAGCTTCCCATTCGGTTGGGCGGACCAAGCGAATGGATATGAAATGTCAAAGGCATTTGATTAAGTAAGTAATGAGATGAATCATCAGCGCTTATTGGAGGTGTGCTTGCCCGATCAGGTTGACCTAATGATGATATTAAGGCAAGTGCAATCGTCATGCTTTCGGGTACATGCGTGCCTGAACTGGTGACACGTATAAGGTCAGGATTTCAACCTGTTTTGGGCGGGAATTTTGAAAGTTGAGTCATTTATGGCAAAACGAGGTTTTGCCATGTGGCCCTGTTTGAAGGGACAATCATTAAATGCCACTCAGAAGCGTCTTTGGGTATTCCATCTTTTTCATTTCAAACATTGAAGAGTTTCTTCGCATGCCTTTCTTAGGGGAGAACTTTCAGCGCTTCAGAGGTTTTCCGACGTTTCTTCATGGTAACCGCTTCTTTTTTATTTATGAGTCTACTGTTGCTTTTAGTTGGTCTCTAGAGTAGTATTCTTGTTGTTTTGAGGAGGTTTCAAATATAGAGAAAAAGAAGAGATTGGGGTCTCCTAGGTTTGCTTGTGAAGGGGATTATTTGATTTTAGAGTGTTTTGTTATGGTTTGTATGTCTAGTTTGAAGGAGTTGCATTTGTGTTTAATTTCTGGAGAAATTTGGAGTGATTTGCTCGAGTTTTGATTTGTTTTTGGTGGGCATGAAGTATGTTGGATTTATTTTTTGAAGTGCTTGGGTTTTTAGCAAAGATAGAAGACAAAGTCAAGTTATGGGGTATTTTGGTTCGGCTCACCTCGGTCGGCTTGACTGGGTCGAGTGCAGCGGTTGAGTGGAGGTTGCAGACAAGGCAAATTGGGGGTTAGGACATTCGATCATCCGGACCGAGGAAGGTGAAACATTGTCACTCGAAGTTCTTGGGTGAGGTCATTCGGTCGTCCTGACAGAGTTCAATTTGTGGGAGTTTATGGTTAAGTCAACAGGTTGAAGTGATAGGCAGTTGGTTGTCTTGGGTGAGTGAGTGTTTTTGACACTGCAGGTTAGACTAGTAGGTTGGAGGTACCAATTTATCGTCCTAACCGAGCCAAGTGGTGGAATTGTGTTCGCCAAAGGGTGGAACACTTAACCTTGTTAGAGATACGGTAGATCACCTTGGTTGAGTCGGGTGAGCTAAGCAAATATATGTTGCAGTCAGAATTGGGCAACTCGAACGGGGTAGAGGTGGAGGTTAGGAATGAGTACGAGAGGGCCCCAACGATGGCAGTAATGCCAGAGGGTGGAGGTGTTCGAGTCAGCATACCATAGGGGGTGAATTTGGCTACTCTTGGGCCAAGTGGTGCTGCTCCGAGTGATGATGATTCAGATGGGCAAGGGACGAGTGGGAAAGACTCTGATGAAGCTAACAGTTCTGAGAGTTTACCTTCTACCAATGGTGGCCACGAGGACGAGCTGAGTCAGCCCAGCAACGGGATACTGAATAAGGACTATCCACTTTTGTTAAAGGAGAACGATGTGTGGCAGATCATAACTATGTACCACATTCCAGAGTCATTTGAGGTTAGGGTGTCTAAATCGTGCGAGAGAGTCGACTGGGAGGCAAAAGGTTGGGTGAGTGTCTATGAGAAGTGGTTCCATGATGGGCTGAGGTTTTCGATACCTCGCCTTGTTTAGGAGGTGCTGAATCATTTTATGATTGCACCGACTCAGATCATGTCGAATGGGTGGAGGCTGCTAATGGCGTTAATGGTCCTCTGCGTACAGAATCAAGTGATGTTTGGACTGCACGAGTTGTTGTATTCCTATTTCCTGAAGGAGAGTGACAAAGATAAGGGTAGATACACTATCACTCTTAGGCATGACTGGACCCATCTTGTGATTGACCTTCAGTCGAGTGATAAGAACTGGAAGGAACACATTTTCTTTTTGATGGGTGAAGCAGTCTCTGGAGAGAAAGGCCAGGGCGAGATCCCGTATACCTGGTAGGCAACTG